GGGGGAGGGGGAGGGGGCGGTGGTTCGTTCAACTCGTTCAACACTACTTGTTGGTGGATCAACTGCTGAAGCAGGAATGAGTGTGGTTGTTGCTGCAGTAGTTGCTGCTGTTGTTGTTGTGGTAGTGGTGGTGGTGGCGATTCCTCAAGTGTTGTCTGTGTACCTCTGTTCTGACTCCTTTGTCCTCCTCCCTCCTCCTCTTCTTCCTCCTCTTCCCTGTCCTCCTCCTCTTCTTCCTCTTCTTCCTCCTCTTCCTCTTCCTCCTCCCCCTCCTCTTCCTCCTCCGCGCCCCTGGGGTCTGGACTGTCCGGTGGAGCGGTGCCTCTGATCTGGGCCAGGAGATTTAGCGGAAGAAACGGCTGTTGGAAGGCCTGAGGCAACAGAGGGTTGGGTCTGCTCTCAAAGGGGACAGGCTGGACTAGGGTCAGTCGATTGTAGGGGTTGGTCACTGGTACCAGGAATCTGGAGAAGTAGTGAATAAGGGAGGGGGGGGGTAATATTAGTTTTAGGAAGAGTTTTATGGCACTTGAAACACTATAATGTCTTGTATTTGTAAATACCGAAAAGAGAAAGGTAACCAGGGGAGATGGAAAAGAGGCTGGTCCTGGTCCGTAAGGGGAACGGTTGTACCACCGGAGTGGGGTCAGTCATTTGTAGGGGCTGGACGTTGGCAGGAGAAACCTTGGAGTGGAGGGAGGTTGGCTGTTTTGATTGATTGGATTACTTGATTGATTGATTACTTGATTGATTAATTGAATGATTGATTGATTGATTGATTGATTGATCGATAGATTGGTTGGTTGGTTGATTGATTGATTGGGGGTGGGCATAAAACAAGGAACTGAGACTGCCGTAGATAGATGATAAGATCAGGATTACACTACTACTCACCTTCCAAGAGGGCGTGGCTCAGGTCGTGGGTGGAAGGGGTTCAAAATCGGCGGTCCGTGTGAGGGTGGTAGTTGCAACAGGGTCTGTGAGGACTGGGGCTGAGACCCTGGCCTTGGATGACGTCTACGACCTTGACCTTCGCCCGTTGATGTAAAAGGCTCTTGGTCCGTCTCCTGTAGCTGGGGAGGGGGCAACAATTGCTGCTGCTGTTGTTGTTGTTGATGCTGTTGTTCTTGCCCTACCGGCGGGTTGTTGTTTTCGTCTACGCGCTCATTCTCTTCATCGTGCAGCGGAGGAGGATGAGCCAGGGGCACAGAGGCGGCGGTCGCGAGCACGTCAGAGGCCAGCGAGGCCAGGGAAAGCGGGGACGTTGTCAGGGCCAGCGGTGACGTCACGGTGAGCTCAGGGATCTGGTCCGTTGTGTGGCGGCTGTTGGCGCTGAAGTCAGAATGGCCACTGATCGGCGGCGGAGGCAGAACCAAGTCCGCGTCAGTGGCGGAGTCTGGGGACGTGAAGTTAGATCGTCCAATCGCAGGTAAAACCAGGTCCGCGTTAGAGGTGGATAGTGGAAGTGTGACGTCAGAATGCCCACTAATCGGAGGAGGCAGAACCAAGTTCACGTTTGAGGTGGACGGTGGGGGTGTGACGTCAGAATGTCCACTCGGCGGAGGCAGAACAAAGTCCGCTTTAGTGGTGGAGGGTGCGGACGTGACTTCAGATTGTTCAATCGCAGGCAGAATCAGGTTCTCGATGAAAACAGCGGAAGGATATTCTGATGTGACGTCAGTTTGTTCACTCAGGGGTAGTCCCAGGTTCTCACCGGAGATGGTGGTGGACGTGAGGGTGGCGTCAGCACCAGACGGTGTAGGGCTGTCCTGGTCTTCCTCGCCTTCTGCCTCCACTGTGACAGGATCTACAAATGTGCCACTACGGGACGCTGCTACCACAGGCACGTCACCGGGTGAAGGAATAATGTTACTCTGACCTTCACTGGCGCTATCTCTGCCTTCGTCTTGGTGTGAGAACGTCGTTACAGACGATGGGGGTTCGAATCTTAGGTCAAAAGTTTTAGGGTTCAATGTGAAGATCGAGGTAGTGCCAGACTGTGACGGGCGGTCACTGAAAGAGGGGATAGCCCCACCACTATCGTTGACCACTGGGCATCTCGCTGATCTCCAACGACTGACCGAGTGTTTTTGTGACTCCCGTCGCGTTTCACCGCCTGTGTTGTCAGGGCGGAGAGATTGACCATCCAGTACCACAACACTTGGGCGGCCTGTTCTCCTTCTGGGTGTGGAAAGCGACGTGGTTGTTGTTGCCCTGTCGGTCGTCTGGCGCGAAACGAACCGGTGTGGGGAGAAGAAGTACTGGTCGTTGAGCACAAACTGACAGTCACTGGCACTGTCGTGGGCGAAGGTGAGTCCGTCGGAGGCCGGGGCTAGGAGAGTGTCAAGGACGCTGTATAAGGTGGAGAGGGTCAAGGACGCGAGAGTCCTTGGAAGTGACCCTGAGGCTTGCTGCACGGAGACTTCTGTGGAACACTCAGACTCGGGAGAGGAAGGCCGAGATTGTGTTGTTGTGTGGGGGGAGCTGGTCCCTTCTCTGAACTCTGCAGCGTCGACGTTGGACTCTCCTCTTACACTCTTTGGTGTACTGTGACTGTGATCTCTTGATTGTGTTGCTGCTAATGATGATGTGGGTGCTGTCGTTGTTATTGATATTGGACTTGTTGTCGTTGTCAGTGTTGATGCTGCTGTTTTTGCTATTGTTGTCGCTGCGTTTGTAGCAGTTATTATGGTTGTTGTTGTTGTTGCTGTTGTTGTTGTTATTGTTTTTGTTGACGTTAACGTTGTTGATGAAGTTGTTGATGGTCCTGCCGTTGTTGCAGTTATCTCTCGTACTCCTGTTGTTGCTGCTGTTATAGCAGGGGGAGGGGAGGTTGTTGCTGTTTGTTTGGGGTGGGGGGTTGTTTGTTCGTTGTTGTAGTTGTTTGGGGTTGTTGTTTTGTTTGGGTTGTTTGTTGTTATTTTTGTATGTTTGTTTTGTTTTGTTGTTTATTTGTTCGTTTGTTGTTTGGTTGGTGTTGTTGTTTTCTTTGGAGGGGGGTAGCTGGGGGCGGACGTAACCCGTCGATAGCAGGGGGTGGAAGTACCCCGTCGAACCTTCTCTTCTTTGATAAAATTTCACTTCTAGGATCGTGCGTGCTACACTACGCCATTCATCGTTATCTCTCCCGCTTTTCGAGTAGTCCACTCAGTTGTACTATCAAGGGCTGTCCCCGAGTCAGCCGTGTTGACCGCTATGACATCACGGACTCAGGGCAATGGTCAGCAAACATTTTGCCTTCATTTGAACCGAGAAAACAGCGATGTATAGCTCCTGGTGAACAAGAACAACAGTTTAACTGTCTGTTTAAGTAGAGGTTTTACGGTACTTGCAACTGCATAGGTCATATGAGCGCCAGAAGATTAGAGGTGTTACAAGAGAGTAACAATTACTGTAATTACAAACATAAAAAAGAAGAAGGGGAGATAAAGACGATAGATGTTTGATAGGAAAAAAGAAGTAAACCACACTAGAGCACCCGCCAACCACCCACAGTTTAACTGTAACATGAAAATCCTGTACCTATCTCTTCTCGCTTTTGCAATATCATGGAATCACATCC